GAGAATGAATACCGCCGAATCTGTCGATTCATCTTGTAGTGGTGCGTCAAATGCAACGTATTTCCCATCCAATTAGATTGAATTTGGTATTGATGACGTGAAAAATAATAACGGTAACTCCATTGAAATGATTCAAAACTAAAGTAACGAGCCAATTTTTTAAAATGTAAGTAGTAGAAAGTACAGATATTTGTGTAAAAATGTAAGGAGTAGAAGTAAAAAGTCGCCATAAAAATAAGTAGTAAAGTAAAGTAAAAATATCAGAAAAATCTACTTGAGTACAGTAACGAAGTATTTGTACTTCGTTACTTCCCATCTCTGGCCATGGTCTATTATGTGTAGTGACTGTTCAGGTCCCTAGGATGGTTACCGCATTTACACTACCCTTTATAAACCGTGCCGAGACCGAGCCGAGCACAGTAACCGAGATAACTGTTAAGCGTAAATGTAACGCAATTGAACTGGACTGTGCCTGACACAACTGAATCATGCTCAATCTAGTACTAGTTCAACCATAGGACTCGGCACGGTTCATCTGTGGCTCGGTTCACTGATAACAAAGAGTGCATGAGCAGACCGCGTTATCTCCTATTTACAGTCAGCTGACTCATTTTCACAGATCTCTTCACCTGTTCACAACAAGAACTTCTTCTCAGCCTATTAATAATGAATTGCACCAAAAGAGCATGGTGCGACCAGGGATGATGCAGAGACTGAGACTCCCATTGAAATTTGGGCTGAGGACGCAATCCAGGCACATAAGCTCCTGAATGTTGCGGGCGCTGCCATTTTTGTTTGCATAATTTCTGCCTTGAGAGCTGTAGTATCGTGGAAAGGAGGTGAGAACCTGTGTAAGGGTGAGGTGTAATTGGTCATGATAACAAAGCTCGGCATGGTTAACCGATCCAACTTCGGTCCCAGCTCTGCACGGAGGGGTAGTGTAAATGGAGAATATGTGTCCCCCCGAACACCAAACTTCATTTAGGATGTTGGTTTTCATGAGAAATCTGTCATAGTCTTAATTTAGGCAAGAAATAGTTGTTGAAAACTGGGCTGTTTTTGGTAAGTTTGATTTGATCCCACTTTAATCCAATAATAGAAGTTGAAAAGACATTGAAAGTTGGGATTTTTACATCTTTTCAATTATCTGAAAATTACAGCTTTACACCTTTCACTTTTATACCAAATGTAGACATCATTTTGACGTAAATAATCTCGTCTTTTTTATGTCTTTTCAACCAATTTTTGCTCAGTGGGTTAGGTTTTAGCTATAGTGAATCTTTAAAAGACCTATTTTATTTTATAGAACCCACAAATATAGCTGTTCCAAACTATCAATATCACATCCTCTTTCTGCTCCAGGCTGTCACTTATAATGTTGGCTGATAATGCTTTAATCAGGTTCATAATTTCTTTAATTATGAGGATTATTTTGACATTCCTTTGTGGGGAAGCAAGGCAAACTTCACCTCACATGATGGGCTATTTTTTAACAGTTCTTCAGGGCAAAACCAGACACTGCATTTGCCAATTTTTTCACTTCTGGAGGAGATGGAATGGTGATAACTCGTTTCAAAAAGCACCGCCGCCTGCAACACAAACACAGTTTGTAAATTTGTTACTGCTGTTTCAAAAGAAATCACCATTCAGTGTTAAAATCAATTAATGTTGAAGTTATTTCATGTGAGTATCTGTATAGATCTCATAGAATACTGTACCAAATGTCAGGAAAAGGGAAGCTTTCAGTGATGTAAGTGAAGAACTGGCAGTTAGGGTTTTGAGTGCATGTCTGTTGGCAGTCATCTGCATTACGTACAACCTCAGAGCGAAAATCAGAACCAAAGAAATCCACTCCTTCATAAGTCAGTCTGAGCCAGCCTGTCAACGATATTGATTCTCATAATTTTGCCATGTATCATGCCTAGAAAGTATCAATGCTATACAAAGCAGATCCTGATCTACTAAAACATGACTTGATAGCCCCCATGGATTGAGATTATATCTTGTTTCCTGTTCTAGACTTAGACTTAGACAATCTTTATAATCTTTTTTGTCAAAAGGACATTTCGTTTTGTACTGCTCTCATGACATTTCCATTTCTTAAATTGCAGCTGTGATCAAACGTATGCTATGTGGTTAGCATTATTACATTCTGTGCTTACTTGTAATATAAGAAGAGAGTGATTGTCTGTATTGAGCTTTGGATTCAAACCTCGGATCAATACCATACAGTTTGATATGACCAGATAAGAGTATTTGTCTGGAGTGGATGGATGTGTCACAAGGGTGGATGTAAGAGAACTTGTATGTGTGTGTTCATAACTAACAGAGTGTGCATATAAGGAATGTTTATGGCAAAAAGGGTTCTTTTCTATTGGGTTGACTTTCTTTGGAAGGGACAGTTTTTCCTTACACTGCTCATAGTCTGTCAAGGTGCACAAAACAAAACTTTCAGGAATGATGTTCTGCTCAAATTTCCACATATCTTCGTATATATATATATATATATATATACTGTATATATATTTCCCTTTCTACCAAGTGATCACTGCAGCATCTGCATCCCAGTAGAATTCATCTGTTGATCTCTCGATATTCATATCACTCATAAACAAGAACCAAATACTTAAAATCCCCTACTTACAGTATGCTATTGCTTTAAGTATGGGAATGTTATATATGTATTGTGCTGTAATATCCTGTAGAATAAATGATGTAATAAATAATAATGCAGTAAGAACCGCAAATTGTAAGTTTCAGTCAGGGCTTGCCAATAAATTATAGGGAAAGGGTTTAACAAACTTGAAAACTGAAATCAACAGCTATTAAGATTGCTTTTCTGAAAAATTAGTCAGGTTATATTTTAATCTGTGATATTCTTGTAACAGTGTGTTCAGTTTGCGTGTTGATTGCTGGTACATACTCTCATCAATCCGACAGAAACGTGATGGAATCCCTGATGTGACGCCTCTTTTTGACTGGACCACAAGGCTGTTTGGGTTGTTCTTCAAAATACATCCAAAGTTATTACTGTGGAAACAAAAAGAATGTGCAAACATAATTTTTTGATAACATAACAGAAAGAACACATTCTGCCAATCAAGCCAGTTAAGACAGTAACGCTAATGTATCATCTAAAAATCAATCTGTCCCTTACACAATATACACAATATGCATTACCTGCTAAAGGAAAAGTAAGTGCACAGAGGCTGGACCGAACACAGGAATTGACAGTATTCAGGGGAAACAGCCTTAAGCTCCAAGAAGTCATTGCCTGGAAAGTCGGTGTCTTGAAACAGTTGGGTCTGACATGCTGCAAAATACATATACAGAACAATAAGCAAAAAGGCATGATGGTGGGAATTGAAGTTATGACACCAGTTATAAATTTACCAGAGCCAATTTGTTGAGTCAGTTGCGGTTTTCTGGAGAATCCAGATATGACTCCAGGCTTTCTTTCTATTGCTGGGATCCTTGGGACATTAAAGCTGAATTTAAGGAAACATCTGTACCTAGAATAGAACGGATAAAAAAAAAAAAAAATAAGTTTTACACTTTTTGAGCTAATAGTTTCATGCCACATGTATTTAAACATCCAGCCATCTATTCTCCATCACGCATATCCCAGCTAGATGCCTATCTCCAGCTTTCAATGGGTGAGGGGCAGGATACTCCCTGAACGGTCGCAAGTTGATCACAGAGACAAACAGGACAAACAACTTTTCACGTACACACCTAGGGAGAATTTAGAGAAGCCAAAGAACCTAACTGTCATGTTTTTGGACTGTGGGAGGAAGCCAGGGTACCCGGAGAGAACCCACACATGCACAGGGAGAACATGCAAACTCCATGCAGAAAGACCCCAGGCAGGGAATCAAACCCAGAACCTTCTTGCTGCAAAGCAGCAGTGCTACTGACTGCGCCACTGAGCAGCCCACTGTATTTAAACATATCTAATAAATTAAAGTCCCTAAGAAAGAAATGCATGTATCTTTTCACTGTTTATCTTTTATATAAATTGTATGTTTTGCCAGGAAAACAAAACTTAAATATAACACATAAAAAAGAGTAGTTTTGTGGACCTTTGTAACAGCAGTAAAGAGACACCTGAATTACTCTGGACCCCACCCATCTATCCATCTCTTACTCTATCTTAGTAACCCTTATTATTAAAACACCAATATATAGTACCCTTGCTGTTCTTCTTCAGGCAAGAACTGAATCTTAATGAGGGGAGCAATGTTTTTTTTCCCAGTTGTGAATGATAATCTCAAACCAAGAGCAAGAAATACATCTAAACCCCAAAAAAAGATTATGTACATAATTAACACAAAAGAGTTTTGACTTTTTGCCGAGAATAAAGAAGCCGCTTATTCTTTGGACATACCAGGATTATAAAGCCTTAAAATCCCCTTAGGTTGTCTCATGATCACCAAACAATGCTTGAAATTTCCTTAAAACTCTTGGAAATTCCATACGTGTAAAGAGCTGGCAAAATTTTCCAGCCAACAGCAACTGCTGAATATGAAAATTGGTCTGCCACTGCATGTGCATTGCCCCGAACCTGCAATTGATGTGGCTGGTCAATCACCACTGCCAATCCAGTTTTAGGGCTCAAATTAAGTAGAGCTCTAACTTGCATATGTCCAGGATTTCTTCCAAGTAGAAGAAAGTCAAATTCTCCTTTTCTGTTGCCATTTGGCCAAAAGCAAACACATCAGAGTTCTTCAGAACTTTCTGTCTCATACTTTCCTAGTGCTGAGCTGCAGTTTAGGTTAAACACATTCTGCTAGTTAATATATTTGCATGCTTTTTAATAATTTTTTTTTCATTTTTTTAAATTGTATTACTTGTGAATGATTACATCATTGACAAAAAACTGAATTTTCTCTTGACGTTTAATCCGCAAATTTATTTTGTTTATATGAATCAAAATTAGAACCAAAAATCTTAAAACTTCATTTGTTTTTGTTATAAATAAAGCATCATATAATTCACAATTACCTGATATCTGACTGCGGGAAGTCTCCTGTTATAAAGGTATAGAACTGACAGCGGGGATCCCCAGTGCAAAGTCTCTGACACTCTTCCAGGTTGGCTGTGAATAAGTTTGTGTAGTCTGCTCCAAAGAAGTCCACATTCCTAAACACCTGTCGAAGACAAGGCGCTGAAACACAGAGAACAGAATGATAGTCAAAGAAAGCATTGAATAATACGAGCAGCAGGAGGAAAAAAAACAAGGGAAACTGTAGCAATGTTTTCATGTTGCTAAAACTGATTAATTTACAGTTACTTTGATAGAATTTAATCAAAATCAAACATACAATAAATGTATAAGATATATTATTTAGAATATAATAGTCAATGATTCAATTAGCGATTAGAAATATCTGTGTCAACCTACTTGGGTTTGGATTGCAGGGTTTGAGAGAGTAGCCAGAAGTGACACCTTGAAGTGGTATTTGAGATTCAGGCTTACCAGAAGAACTTGATTTAAGGTAGCATTGGAAGTTGCTGAAAAGATGGAATTTTCACCATATTTAATAAAAAAAAAAATCTTAATTAATAAGTCTTTTCTTTTTAAATCTATGAAATATATAGTTTTGTTTTCAGTATCTATCTCTCCTACCCTGTGGACCTGTCTGCCCGATTGAAGCTGAAGAAGAGGCACGAGGGTTCCTGGGTGCACAGCTGCTGACAGTGTTCCACAGATGGAGAGAACAGGAAAGTAATGTCTGATCCAGGAAAATCCACATTCTCCAAAAACCCTGGAATGCATTCTAAGGAAATCAAGATTCTTAAATGTGAAGATAGAAAGTGGCACACAGGTGAAAGGAGGACATCCCTGTGCTGTTAAATGTGCCAGGCATGTCGTCAGATTATACAGAGAGCAATGTGTGTGTATTACCTTGACAGAAGGAAAGGTGGCCTATCAACAGCATGTATGCTAAAAAATAGCTCACCATATTGTATCACTGATGTTCCTCAGAGAAATGAGACTGCTAAATATGAGCCAGGGGTAAATAGTCAAATGCAATTAGGACAAAGGGCAGATCACAGAATCTGCTATTTATTGCAAAAGGTATAAACAATCCCTTTTTTGTTTAATAGTGAGTCAATGAGGTCCAAACCAAACGTGTGTTATGTAATCATTTTCAAATGGAAACAAAGTTTGTTTAACTATAATATAGTTAATAATCTATCATTTGCTCACAAGCTTAACATTTTAGCTTAACAGCTCTACAGTAGGCAAAACCAAATAACACTGTGTGACAATGACCTCTGTTATCAGTTTGAAAAGGACAGGATGACATGACATGTCAGAGAGGTGCTGCAAGTTTTTAAGCAGGCAGAGGTGATAGACTGGGAAGCTTCATTCTATTATACTGTTTTATAAAATGTTATCATTGACAGCTGAACTTTATTGATCTCAAATTGGAGAAATTTACCTCTGCATTTAACCCATCCCTTAGGGGAGCAGTGGGCTGCCATTATGCAGAGTTAAGGGTCTTTGCTCAGAGACCCAGGGTGGCAGTCTGTGAAAGTGGGAGAACCTAATTCCAAGTTAGCTTAGCAAAAGTTAAAGTTACGAAAGGAACCTTTGTTGTAGAAACGGCTGTTCTTGTGAGACCTAAGTAAAAATCCCACCATGCTGCTGGAGCCTAAGGTAACTGTTAGTATAAATCTACATGAAGTGGTGACACATTCAGGACAAACAGCCATACGCAAGAAAATCTGGTCAAATCCACCAATGCTGATATCATGTCATAAAGAAAATAGGGACTCAAAGATAAATATTTGTGAGTCCCTATTTAGTTAGTATTTATTATTATAAAAAAAAAAACTTGATTATCCAAAGTTTATCCCCACACACTGTCTACCAACTACATCCCTCACAGTTACGCAGTCTAAAACTAACACATGATGAATGCATAAAATAGGGAAACAATAATACAGTCACAAACTTAAAGAGCAATGCTAAACAAGATAACTTAAAGACAACAATGAATATTAACTCTGCTGATATTCCCTTCAGTCACATGCATGCTGTAATATGTTGTCTCCTAAGAAACAAAGTCTAAGAATAAGGTCTTGAGTTAAAATCCCTTTCCTAGATACATTTTTAAAGTCCAATCCATCAGGCCTAAAAACTTATTTTCCATGTTCTTTTTTCTTGATGAAACAAAACAATGTTTTTTGTTTTTTTTTAACTCCTAGATGGGCGTGCAGATGGGGCAGTGGTTAGTGCGCACAACTGATGGACGGAGGTCTTAGTCCTGGATGTGGCAGACCCAGGTTCAAATCTGACCTGTGGTCCTTTGCTGCATGTCTTATACCCCTTTCCTGTCAAAAAACGTGCTGTAAAAAATGATAATAAAATCTAAAACTCCAAGATGATTTGCTAGTTTTACTTTCTAACTTAGTTGAGATTGGGGCTGATCCAAATGGCAAAGGTTAGATCCTGTTTCCGGTTATTTATTCTTCATGGGACTCACTGAAAAATGTGGATCAGAATTTCTAATTCTCCATTTTACACTAAAGAAATGCACGGCTAAAACACATTTTCACTGTATTATGTATCAACTTACATTTTTTTTTGTATTGTTTATTATGGTGTAGTGTTGTTATGCTGTATAACTTTTGATTTTTCAAATTTAATTTCTGGTGTCGGAGTCACTTTCAAATATAAAGGTTGTTACAATGTGCATGGCCCTATTGAATATTCTTTTATAATGAACCGACAAAAACTTATACAAAATAAAAACAAAAACTAAAAGTACAATAGTTTGTTTTATTCCTTACATACAGAAAAAAAGAAAATCAGCAAATCTTAGTTTGAAGTCAACAGACAATTTATTTGACATACATATAAATGTTTTGATGGGTTAATCTTGGGATTTTTCTGCTCTTCTACAGTTTCTTAAGGTGAAACCAGACACAACATTGGCCAGTTTTTTAACTTTGGAAGGAGCTGGCATGGTGATCACTCTCTTCATGTAGCAACGGTGCCTATAACATAAAAACATCACATTTCACTGCTGTTGCCAAGTGATATAAATGTTACTGACAGTTGAATTTGCATGATTTCAGTGTATCATCCAGGTCTAAACACATTTTCTAACTAAAAATATTTTAAAGAAGGTAGAAATAATAAGTTCATACCGATGGCTGGGATGAAAGAAGCTTCCATTGTGGTAGGTGAAGAATTGGCAGTTAGGGTTCTCAGTGCATTTCTCCTGACAGTGTTCAGCACAGTTCACCACCTCCGAACTAATGTCAGATCCGCTAAAATCTACTCCTTTGTAAGTCAGCTTCGCCCAACCTGTCAGCAAAAATGTTCATGGTCAAATTATTGCAAGTTGCTGCAATCTACATGCTCAAAAATACATTTATTTTTCCCAGAGGTGAGACAATCGTTTATTTGAACTCTCGTTTCTCTGAAATTATATCACCGCAAACCTATATTAACGAATCTTTACCCCCTTCTCTAGGTTGGCACTGACATTAAATGTACATGAGAAAAATAAATGAGAATGAAGTGAACTGAAATGTTTTGTACTTCCAAAATTTCCAGTCAGATCAAACTGGTGAGGTTTGCTTTGTTGTTGTAATATTTGTATGCAAGGCAATTCACTTTGCCTAAAAGGAAAATTAAAAACATTGTTAAATTACTGCTGAGATTGCTTACCCTGTCCTGAATAAGTGAGATGACATGTGATATGAATTAGCACTATATCAATAAAATGAATTAGATTGATCTGATAAACCTTTCAACTAACCTCTGGTCCTGATTAAAACAAAAAACAAAAAAAAAAAACAGCTGCACCTGGTTTTGCTGAGCACAGCTGCAACTAAATTAAATAAAATACAACAAAACTAAGGTAGGTATTTTTTTTAAAGTGTAAACTACAAAAAAATTTAAATCTAAGTTGTTTTTATTTTAAAGGTATATTGGAGGATGTTCTTTTTCTGGGTTTATCATCAAAAATAAGCGGTCCTCCTAATTGTCAAACATTCTGGTGATATTCCAAATAAGTTAAAAGAACAATCAACTGGACTATGTTTCTAAAGTGGGCTGTTTTTTTTTTCTTTTTTTTTTACTTTTTTGGAATGACTATGACCTGGATGACTGAGAATCTTATATTTATGTTTACATATCCTATGTGCTCTTCTCTATTTTAACTGACAGAGGGGAAAAATTGCAACTCTTTTGCAAACAGCGAATTTAAACAGAGCATGCACAAGGAGAAATGGGCTCATGCATGCTGTACCACACGTTTAATAGGCATTCCCTCTCAGGAGCGGGTACAGGGTTTGCATGTGCGTTTTCTTTTTAAGTGGAGAGGGCGGCTCTTTTCAAAAATTTACGAAAATCCTCCACTATACATTCAACAATAAGTGCATTTCTTCTTAAATTAAGGAGCTAAGTGAGACACTTTGCCAATGGAATAAGATAATTTACATTTGAAATTAGAAATAAAAAAACAATTGCATTGTCTTATTTCAAGTGCATATTATCTAATGATCTTATTATAAGAGTAAAAATGCTCATTCCATTGGCAAATTATCTTATTTACGTACTCAGATTAAGGGTAAATACACCTAATTTAAGAATTTTTTGCTTATTTCTAGATCATTTTTTAAGTGTATTGCTAGTGGAAGAGTGCCCTGTATTGGATTTTGTGTTGTGCTACATACTCTCATCAATCTGACAGAGGTGTGTTGGGATTCCTGATGTGACACCAGTTTTTGTTTTTGCCACCATGCTGTTTGGATTGTTTTTCAAAAAACATCTGAAGTCAAGACTGTAGAAATAAAAAAAAAAAAATACATTTATGATTGAATAACATTTAACGTTAATGATAATGCATTTACAAACCAATATGTATTGTTTAGCACTCAGACAGTGACATACCCGCTGAAAGAGAAGTATGTACACTGTGGATGGACAGAACAGAGAAACTGACAATGTTCTGGAGAAACAGCCTTCAATTCCATAAAATCACTTCCTCTGAAGTCGGTGTCTGAAAAAAGTTGGCTCTGACATACTGCATCAGACACAAACAAGGTTATAAAGGAAGCAAAAATCGTCAAACACAATGAGACGCTGAGACGCTGCAGATGTTTGCATACCTGTGTCAAACTGTTGAGACAGTTGCGATTTTTTGGAGAATCCAGATAGGACTCCAGCCTTCAATACTATAACAGAGGGCCTTGGCACATTCCAGCTGAATTTAAGGTGGCACTTATACCTAGAACATCAAAGTTTTAGAAAGACAGAGCCTTGAAAAGTTCAGTTTAGGCAAATCGACGTGAAGTTTTCTAGAAGACGTTTCTCCTATCATCCAAGAGGCTTCTTCAGCTCTAACTAATAATGGGGAGCACTGAGATTATAGTGCTCCCCAGGTTTAACAGAGAATTAGGGGGGGAAAAAAACAAAAGGTGGCTCTATAGAATATAACATCCAATCTTCACTCTTATGGTAACGTTGAAAAGGTCGGTCAAGGGAGTTTGGTCGTCTGGTCGTCTGGTCCACATGTATCGTGTCAGCTTTGGAGAAAAGTTTCTGCCCTTTCCTTTGAATTATTTCAGTTTGAACCATAGACCTGGCTTCAATATTTTCAAAACCAGCAACAAAAATATAATTCCACTTGTTTCCACATACTTTAACATACTATGGCATGTATTTATTGAGTTGCATGCTGTTCTACACTAAGTATTTTCTCTTCACTCTGTCTTTATATCATAAAATAAAAGAAAACTACTGAAATTCACTAAAATCAATATTGTATGCAACAAATAATAAATCAATTGCTTTAAACTTGACTTGATTTTTATTTTTAACAAATCTATTTTTACCTTTAAAATAACATTATCTGAGAATTGGAAATTCAGAAACTGGATTCATATTTCATTTAGATTTTTTGAGCAAAGTCATAAAAAACTTCTCATATAGAAAAAAAGTTAAAGGTACAGTACATTAAAAGTTATTTTAACAATGGAAAACAATAATGGTCTGCTCAGTGTTGCAGTGAATAGCAGTGCTGCCTTGCAGCAAGACCGTTCCATGTTTGGTTCCCAGCCTGGGATCTTTCTGCATGGAGTTTGCATGTTCTCCTTGTGCATTTTTGGGTTCTCTCTGGATACTCCAGCTTCCTCCACAGTCCATAAACATGACTGCAAGGTTAATTGGATTCTCTAAATTCTCCTTAGGTCCGTAGACAGCTAGAGATAAGTACCAGCATCCCTCCATCTGACAGAAAATCGATGGATGGATGGAAAACAATAAAATATTAAACTTTAAAAGAATTCCAATGCAAGGAAATTTTCATAAAATGCATTCTAACTGGAGTCACTAGAACAAAAAAAAAAAAAAGAGAAAACAGAGGGAACAAAAACCATCTCTTTATAAGAAAGTGTGTTAAGAGTAAAAGTTAAAAACACTTTTGAAAAAGACTTTTTATCATGTAAAGAAATTTACATTACACTCCAAGGTTTTGTTCTCGATAAAATACAAAAAGAATATTCAAAAGAAGTTATGGCACAATTTACAGACTCAGGTATTTTTTACATGCTTAAGGAAAAAACTTTTAACGTTCTGAGAAAAGACCCAGGTAACACAAAATGTCAGTAGCATTTGTGATTTACCTGATGTCCAAGGTTGTAAAGTTCCCGGTTACAAAAGTAAAGTACTGACACACTGGATCTTCTGTGCAGACTCTCTGACATTCTTCAAAATTAACAGTGAAAAATGTTCTGTAATCTCCACCATGGAAGTCCAAATTCTCAAAGATCTGTGGGAAGCAAGGTTCTGGAACATTGGTAACAAAAACATGGTCACTGAACATTTCAGAGACGTAGACATGTAAAGATTCTCTAACTAATATAAATCTATTTAGGTTTAGGTTCAGTAACACAAAAAAGAAAAACAAAGTTTTTTCACAAGTCATTTTCACAATTTTTCCACACATTGCAGAAACGATCAAAATAAAATCAAGAAGCAGCATTTTAGAGGTGCCTCTCTCTTGCATGTTTGGGATAAATTCTACAGTTTTTCTATAATGTAAAGCAGCAACATAAAAAAGCTATATATCAGGCAAATTTATTTCAACTATAATATCGCAAAAGTGAGCTCTAGAAATGTGAGTGTACCTACTTGAGTCCAGATTGCAGGGTTTAAGAGAATAGCCAGAAGTAACGCCCAGCAGCAAAACTTGAGATCGTGGGTGTCCAGAAGAGCTTGATTTAAGGAAGCATTGAAACGTCCTGAAAAACAGAGGAGTAAAACATATGTATAAACACTATTTTAATATTAGATTTTGTACAGTGTCTCCATAATCAGTATTATTAATATTATTGATGTCCCTCATACCCCAGAGATTTGTCTGGCCGATTGAAGCTGAAGAAGAGGCAGGATGGGTGCTGGGTGCAGAGCTCTTGACAATGCTGTGCAGATGGGGAATACAGATTTGCTATGTCGGAGCCAGGAAAATCCACATTCTCTAGAAAACCTCGAATACATGCTGAGGGAATATGGAAAGGATTCTTACAAGTAGAAAACGAAGACGAATAATACAAACCATTCAAGAGAAAAGTTTATATCTATAAAAAGCACTTCTACATGCAAAGTGTGTAATATTACCTTGGCTGATGTAAAGGCTGCTTACTAACAACATGCACGCTGAAACAAAATAGGACTCCATCTTCATCTGCAGATGGTGAAGAGAAAAAAATCAGACAGCTATATCTGAGCAATGGTTAGATAACAGCTTTAATAAATACAGGTTGATCAAAGGGCAGTTTTGCAACCCTCATTGACTGCGAAGTAAAAAAAAAAAAAAAAGAAAGAAAAAAGCTCCACAATGTGCAGCAAATTACATAAAAGAAAAACTAACTAACCAAGTAAAAGTGTGCAATAATAATAAATGTATCTAAGCTATCATATATACATCCAACATGTACTGCTAAAAAAATGCCGACTTATATGACCACATATTCAGTTACAGGTCATATTAACCTTGTTTTTTTAAACAAGATGACATGACACTACAACGATTGGCAGGTTGCCATCCAGTGAATTAGCCAAAAAAACAAATCAAAGCATTTTTAAAAGTCTTTTAAAATGTATTAAAATGTTTATTATACATTTTTAAATGGGAATAAAGCTTTATTTTGCAATACAGATGTGTCAAAGCTTCCAGTAATAATATTTGTCTATCATATTTCACTTGCTGACAAGCTTTATTGAGATGCAGGTTTAAAACAGCAGGACTTGGCACAGCTGCTCACCCTCAAGCCCAAGCAGGGACCCCCACCCAAGGGCAGGCCACCCCATAGACCCCAGACCCCCCCAGGCGAAAGACTATGCACCCAGCCTCCAGAAGTCCCATCCCGGGGCTCCCAATGCTTCCCCTAGTTGGAGCAACCCGCCTTACATCTGACTCTTGTAGCAACCCTCCCCAGTTAGCCTCCTGACCCCAGAGGCGCCTCGAAATCAGCCCCAGTACACCACCGCACCGTGGTGGTGTCCAGAGAGATTGATTTAGTGATGAAACAGGCTCATAAAATATAACAGAATGTCTTTTTACCTGTAAATATTTAGACTGGTTTTGTTATTCCAGGTCATGAGGATAGTTTTCTCTGTGATACATAAGCCAGTGAAGATGACACAGCGAGAATCATTGTCTAAGGTGACATCATCTAGTTACCCACTAAAGGGACTGATGGAGAGGGTGGAATATTAACACTTTGACAGATCCCCACATACCAGACACCAGAGATTCTGTACAGGCGTGCACAACCACAGTGCAGGTATATAGTCATCTGGTGCATTACTTGAACATTGCAAGCAGATATCAGACTGTGCAAAATGCTTCTTCAACATCCGTTGATCTGGGTAGTGTACTCTATGAAGGATTTTGCATTGTAAATTGGGATTTCTGGTCGTGTCAATGGTTCTCTGACAGATTTTCTGTCAGGAAAAATCTGTTGCTTTGGCCCTGGTTCATGCCTGGTTCCAGTTCTTGTACATTCTCCACCAGGGGGCTTCATCTGCTGGGCTGGGCATGCCACAACTTCCTCAAAGGTTCAACAAGTGCATCAGTCTAAATCAAATGGCAGCATAACAGGAGCAGGAAGCCAGTCGCTCAGTGTTAACTGTCAACTGCTAAATGTCAAACTTTCTCTCCAGTATTCTTTTGAGCATTTTCCTGGTTATTTTCCTGAATCAACCAGATCATCTCACCTGAGGCAAGGCAAGGCAAGGCAAGGCAAATGTATTTGTATAGCACAATTCAGTACAAAGACAATTCAAAGTGCTTTACATGATTAAAATATAGGAAAATAAAACAGAATCAAAGCAAGTAGGGAAAAATAAAATAAAATAAAAAATGCAGAAAGAAAAAAGAATATTAAAAATAATTGGACTAAACAAATGTGTTTTTAGTCTTGATTTAAAGGAACTCAGGCTTTCTGCACTTTTACAGTTTTCTGGAAGTTTGTTCCAGATAAGTGGAGCACAGGAACTAAATGCTGCTTCTCCATGTTTAGTTCTGGTTCTAGGTATGCAGAGCAGGCTGGAGCCAGAAGACCCGAGTGGTCTGGAGGGTTGAGGACTTAGCAACCTTTTTTCTCTCATTCTCTAAAAGTATTATCCAGTTCCAGTTCCTCCATGTATGCTCAAATGTCAAGGCACTTCTGCTCAGCTTGGCAATGCCACCTGGATCCCATTTTCATGATTGGATTACTTTCTACAGACCAGACTATGTTTGACCTCTGCAGTTCTCAATACCTTTCCATAGATTGTTCTGTGAACACATGTGTTAGGACAACAACTGAAAGTGTTAATTAAGCTCAATGTATGGTCAAACAGAAAACTCTGCACATTTGGAATAAATTCACCACAACTACTATTCAAAAAATAGGAATTTATTAAAAGAAAATTAACTCCAAGTCAAACATATTTCAGTTAAAAAACAGTGATTCACCTGGTGAAACTAAAACCTAGCTGCTACTGCATTATAATGCAATTAGATCCACATTCGGTATAATTTTATGTTTGACAACCAAAGTTTATTTTGAAGAATTTGGAATGAAGTCGAATCAACTTTTAACTATTTCAGAGTTATTTGAATGTGTTCAAATCTATTTACAATGCAAACCCAAAAGGTTAAATACAACATTTGGTAAAATATTTTATTGAATTATTTTCTTAATAAAAAATAAAAAGCTTTTAGTTGTAGTATTCCTAACCATCTGTGATTAAGCTAATAGCTGGCAGACATTAGGTGACTCACCTTGAATTACTCTTTGGCCAGTTTTTTGGTAATAAGATGTGATGAACATATGAGGGAACAGATAAACATTGTATTAGTGATTAAACTCTAAATCAAATAATATTTCTTTAGCCATATAAACAGCTGCTGACATGTTTTGAGCTGTTATAAACAACAGTCACCGTCAGCTTTTTGTTAGCCGTAAACAAACGTAAACATCCAAAATAATCCACATTATCAAAAAACCCAAATTGTTAAGCTCAAACATATTTTCTTACCTTTTGCCAGACCTGTATTGAAGAAGGTTGAGTTTTCTTCAGTTTTCAGCATCTTAGCATGTCAAGCCTGCAGCATGGAAAATATGTCCTTTGTTCAGATCCCCCACTCCTCCAGTCTCGTGCATCTAAAGTTTCTTGCAAACTCGAAGGGAAGTGTTGCAGAGCAATCTGTCTTTGAAGCAATATAGTTCTGAGATGAGCAACCAGGTCCAGTTAGCCTTTGAGCAACCTGCAGATTCTGGTTCATGTGGCCTACCTAACATTCATTCATGGGGTCTCTCTCAATGTGGCTGACCTCAAAGAGAGTCTTTGAATTGATTTATTTGTCCCAAAGCATAATGGGGAGCAGAATCACCTGCCGCTGTGGGAGTGTCTGGGAGAGAAGATGAGGTTTGCAGCATCTTGGAGATTGATGATGAAGAGCACAAATTAACCTTCCTCCATCAACTATCAGTTAATATCAGCATGGACAATGATCCCCAATGATATAAGATCTACCATACCTGGATAGATTAAAAGATCCCAAGGCAAAAGATGCAAAGGGGCCCAGAGAAAATCCAGCATACTCACAGCAGGGTGTAAAATACTGGCAGGAAATTAATACATAGTATGTTACACAAACATCTGTGCAGTACTTCAGGAGAGCCCCAGCTCAGATTGGGAGCCGCCTTCCAAGGTGGTGGAGAATGAGAGAGCTAACATCCTGAGGGATCTTAGATGCCAACAGACAATGGTAGATCTGGGCCTCTAGTGCTCAAGGTCTGCTCCTGTGCTGTTTGCTTTCACAGCTTAACTGTAACTGTTTCTGTGTTTGTTTTCTGTACAATAGATAGGACCAAACAGGAGCAAGACCTTTCAATCCAATAGATTTTCTTTTTTCATAGTAAATTAGGACTAAACATTTGATTTCTCCAGTGCTTTTAAACCCCTCATGCCAGGTCTTCTGAGATATATTAGTTGGAGGTTTTATACCTCAGGCTCACTGGCATCATCCATATTTTATTACATCATGTATTGGAGGAAAAGCTGGTCTCCAGCTAGGTCAGTGTAAGCGGTAGGACACAAAAGCACCATAACAATCATTCTTAGATAATATCCACCCACCGTACGTATAAAGCTGCTGCAGAACTGCAAAGTTAATTTAGTGACAGACTGTTGTATCCTAGGTGCACAAAGAGCAGCAGACAGAATTTATAACTATCACTACTTCTAACAAACACAATACGCTTTAAAATTCCTGCAGTTTTATTCCTTGTAAACACTCTGTTGCTAATATGTACATATTTTGTTCAAGTTTTAATCTAAGTGCGTGCACATCTCTTTAACCCCTAGAATTTGGTTTTAATAATTGTAGATTTTTACATTATTAATTTATGTAATTTCATTCATTTAATATTTTATCCACTATAGGAAAATTCAGGATATGTCTATTCTATTCTATTCTATTGGTAAAGTGACAACCAATTAAAATTGTTCAAGGTCCAACAAATGCAGGTTACTATTACATGAAAATAAACTCTGCATTTAATAAAGCTAGTCATGCAATTAGGATACCGTCTTCAGATGTACAATATATAACCTATGTTTATTCAGGTAGATGTTATGAAGAATAAAAATCTCATTTTTCAGAACTACCTGGTTAAGAGATATCTATTTTTCAGGGCAAAGTTACCCTTGCACATGTAGGCAACCAGCTTCTCCCTAAAGTATGCCTGAAAATATACAACAGAACAGAAAAAAAATAAACTATTTGGGACTGAGGCAGTATTTGATATCAAAGTTGGAAAAATAGCCATCACTTATTAACTCTTGAACTTTAAAATACAGTGGAACAAAACGTCTGAGAAAAATAAAGCACTGAATAGAATTTGAATATGGATCTTTTCAGAATTTGAGTGAAGCAAGTTGTTTCCTCTTACATGTGCATATAAAACTCTAAATGTTTAATTAGGGCTGTGCAAAGGTTTGTGCAGCTTATTCACACCATGCTTAAGAGTCTACTTTTTCTGTGTTATTAGAAAATCATACCTAGTGATGCTTGCTGCTTGGCCCTTACATGCTTTAAGATGGGCAACATTGCCTTATTTGTCCATGTTTCAAAATGGAATAAATGCAGTGCTATTTTCTGACCACAAGATGCCACTCTTGCAGATCTAAGATGTATTTGATCACAGCTGTAAATCAGATAAGTATGGTTAAGACTGATTCACTAAGCTCCATTTTGCAAGTTAGATGTGAAAGTACTTTAAATATATTTTTTTTCAGTCCACATTGACTCTAGGCTTCCCTTATTTAGTTGCATCTTGCATGTGGTGCAGCAGTGTACAGCAAGGATCTCTCTTATCATTTTGTCTTGAGATCACAGACCCACATACCAGAAGGAAGCATACATGATGATGAAGAAATCCCAAAAGGGATCCAGGCATGGCGCAAGATCCCCAGCCAGAGACTCTCATAATATCACATTGGCTTTATGAGTATAAGAGATTTAAAGTGATTAAAAGGGTGAATCAGGTGAGGGAACACATTACAGATGGGATTGCCAATAAACAGGAGCATCTGAAAGAGGCTGATGTGACATAAAAACTCATTTAAAAAAAACAGTTGATGCTTAAACATAAGTAAGCAACAATAAAACATAAAAAGCTAAAGATCAATACCACCTCTCAGTTACTGTATGACAGCACACTGGAATCTACATTAATTTTAAAAGCTAACCCAGACTGACAGGAAATTTTAGAATGATATAGCAATAAAGTCCTTTATTTAATGAAAACTCTTGGAAATATATGTGAACTTTTCTGATGCACTGATGTTTTGTTTTTCAGCTTTTTTAACATTATTACTTGCCTGATCTACTTCAGAACTGTTTGACTCTTTATTAGATGTGGTTTTATTAACTCTTAATTTGTACCTTTGAAAGTATGGGTTTTTGCAATGCATTGTGGCATAACATGATTTACACACTATTCCCACCAAAACAGTGGTGGTTTGGACTGACTAGCATAAGAGAAACAGAAACGGCTGTAGATAAACATAGGTTAAAAAAAAAATAAAAATTGGGAGGTTTTTGATTTGACTCGAGGTAAAATGATTAAGCAAATAGTATTCGTTAAAATTTCATGTAAGAATGCAACCCCATTCTAAATGAAAATAGCTGTTTGGCCGTAATAAAATACATTATATGTGAGCTAAAACAAAACCTATACTGGGCAGTAGCATAATTGATGTGATCATTGGTGAAATGAAACAGATGATTTATTTTGGAAGTTTGAACTTGCTTTAGAATATTAAGGAAGAAATATATAGATTTATTAATCTTAACAGGACTGAACTGAATTAGAAAATAGTTTTTGTTAAGCATATCCTTGTAAAAACAATGCAAACCTGCATGTTTTCAAAACAAAAACAGGCCTTTGTTGGGCTGCTGTATAAAACCTCGAACTCAACGCTATTCCTGACATTTTGAATTGAAAAAGCTTCCTGGAAGGAAAGCGAAATGTCTTCAAACTTGGATACCAAATCCAGTGGATTGTTTTTAATTTTTTGTCGATATTGAATTTAGTAAATGAGTCTACAATACAAATTTAAAAAAGCTTGAAATCAAAGTGAGAAAATTACCATTTTGCCACTTCCCAATTTACTCATTTCCTCTTTGCCCTTCCACTTTCTGACAGAACCCTCCTTTTTTCCTCACTAAGCTTCTACATACCCTTTCCTCGCATGCACAGAACCCTTCTTCTTTCCCTTCCCTTCATCTTCTCTGCTCCCTCTAAGCCTCCCCTCCCCCGTGGGAAAGCCTACACGATGTGAGTGTGGTTGTCCTTCCAGGAAGCTGTGGTGGTGACTCTGGCTCCTCTTCTCAAAGAATTGAATAGTGCCAACCAGTTTGTGCTTTTGTCCATAACTATGGATCTCTGTGTGTGAGTTTGTGTGAGTGTGCGTGCAGCCACTCTCCACGAACATTCCACCACCATACCGTCCGTCTGACCGCCGGCCGGCCGGCCTCGCACGAGAGCCACGCCGTCACTGCGGTCAGGTCCTGACGCCAAGCTCTGAATACTCACGTTACATGCACACACAAGCATACAATGGGGGCTGCACACCACATAAACAAAACTCTGACACACAAAGGCAGTGAAAGCACAAGGGGACTGGCTCAAGCACGCACTAGCACACTCACTCAAATAAACAGTGCACACTTTGCGGAACACACACATTTTTTGGACCACAGACCACAGACATTGCATCCCGAAGTAGATCAAAGCTTTGGCCTGTAATAAACACACACAAAACTCGTCTCTCTTCCCTCCGGCGTGCAGCTCTGGTGAAACACAGCATGGCAATGTGGATTTTCAAGAGAAAACAACTGTTTGCAAATGCCATTTATCACTTTTCAGGGTTGTCTTAAACTGTATTCTTCTTTTTTTTTTCCATATAAGCTTTCACAGCCCCTCTCATCCACCTCTAACCCTCTTCCCTACCTCCCACCCCCACCCTGGTATTGAACGTCTATGCTGGATCAGTGAATCGACCACAGCCCTTCAGATCTATGCCTTTTGTTTTCCCTTCTCTCTATCCCTCCTTTTCTTTCTCTATTCATTGTTGAGGAGACAGTGGTGCAGACAAACAGAGAGAGAAGATATCCGCTGGTGTACCACAAGATTGGAGAGAAAGAATGGCGGGGAAACAGCAAAGAACATGGAGGGGGATATATTGGCTGATATGAGGGAGAAGTTAATTAGAGGGGAGCACCAATTAGAGGGCACAGTGATGGGTCTGTTTGCCTCACCGCGGCATCCCAAAAACATCACCATCTCCCACCATGTTTATCCTCTACTGCCGCAAGACCACAGCTCCCATAAGCCATGGCTGGAGACAGCTTACATACTCAAAGGGGTTTACGGCTGGGGAAAATGTTGGCAGTGTTTGCAGACATGACAGATATGGATAAAAGAGGAACACAGCGCTGTCTCTTTGCCATTCCTTTGCTCTCTGTGTTGACAGCTGCAAAAACACGCCCGCTATTAGTCATGAAGTCAGTGAAAGAAGGCAGAAACAGATACACAGGGTGAAGGCACTTAGACTTTATAGAGGTTGTTGTCAAACATTCTCTGAAAAGGAAAAAAAAAATTTTAATGTATAAACATTTTTTAAAAAAAGGAGATGAATCACAGCTCAAAGTTCAGTCAAAACTCAACCTCAACTTTTATTGAGGGAAACCATATATATATGGCTCTAGGGAACTATGTTTGTATTTGTCACTCGCAAACATGGACACAACTGAGAAATTCCTTCACATTCCTTCATATACAATTGTAATAATCTAAGATTTCACTCATCTTCTTTTATGGCTTTTGGAGTCCCTAAAAAGAGACAATGCTCATACATATTTGCTACATGGTGCAAATGAAAGGTCCGTGTTCACTTAACAGAGTTTGTTTGTTAGAGATTATCTTCAAAATGCTCCAATCTCAGTTCCCCATCCCTGTGGAGCCTTGGATGCTCCACTGAGGGTCCTTCTCTGGGCTGCTGGAGAGCCAAGAGATGCAAAAGGCCGAAAGGACACTTGGGGAGCGGCTGAAGATGATGAGGCGGAAGACGAGGAAGAGGGAGAAGAAGAGGAAGCACTGGGAAGAGGTAGAGGTGAGGCACAGGTGGTGCTGTGAGGAGATGGCTGGTTTGGTCTGGAGGGGCACAGAGCGGGAGATGTTGGGAGGGAGGTCACTCTGTGGATGGGGGTCAGGGCTGTTGGGCCGAGGAGTGGGGGTATTCCCTGCTGGCAGCCAGCCAAGGGGGTGAGACGGAGTGAGGCAGATGATGGGTAGCTCCCAAGCAGGGCGAAATCCCTTCGCCCGCTTGAGAAAGATGGCGAGGAGGGGGCAGGCGAGGCAGCACCAATAGGGGGGAAGGAGGTCCATGGCCAAGGGGCAAATGGCAAGGCAGCGGTGGGGGGTGACTGCAGGAGAAGAGGGTCCAACTCACTAGCACAGTGTGAGAGGTGAGAAACAAGGCGTGCTCCTATGGGGTCTGGAGACTCTCCCTCCAAGGAGCTAAGGTACCGCACAACCTCTCCAACGCATTCCCTAAAACCCAGGGTCCTGTAGTCAACTGCCAGAGCTCTTGCATCAAAGTACCCTGTGATGGAAATCACTGTTTCATTAAAGGCTTTGTAAGCAAAAAGATTAAATACATTTCTAAAGATTTCTATTTGTTTGTACCTTTTCCTCCCATAGCATGTAGCAGCTTAAGATGGTCCACAGTCATTTGCAGAATTTCTGCTTTTTCCAACTTAGGAGAACCCTTAAGGGAGAAAAGATTTCAACTTTTTACTCAAAAGCACTTTAAAATATGTTTAAACAACTGATAAGACCATCAAATCATATCTTCTGTAGTTCTTTCATGTGGGATTCTACCTGTTTCTCAAAAGCACTCGGCACCAGTCTCCTCAGTTCTGACAGGCTGTGGTTGATTCGGTCTCTGCGCCTTTTCTCTATGATCTAAATCACAAGAAGAGCAGATGGACTTTAACCCTACACCATAAGAGATCATGGTCTTAGAAAGTGAAGATCCAATGCTCTACTTACCCCTCTTCTCTTCTTCCTTGCCAGAATCTGCGAGGCACTGCCTGGAGACATGGACCCGGTGACAGGGCTGCATCATGGAGATAAAGTAAATTTAAAAAAATGGAAGATGGAAGAAAGAGAAAATGTGGTGACTCTGAGTCGCCTGCATCTTGTTGTTATTACCCTGCTTAATGTAACACAGGGAGAGGGATGGCGCATCAATCCCTTCAAAACTTATTGGTTTTTGGGCACAGAACAGTAAAAAAAAGATCCTTTTTTTTGTGTTGTTGAATATTTTCTTGGGAAAAGCACTTTTAAGAAGATAATTATGTAGCCTCGGGGGCTATGCTTTTATTTTGCAAAAGAGGCTCCATCAAGCAATACTGAAGCTTTGGTCGTCCAAGTACAGGCGAGCCAAATGGATCAAGTTTGCCTGCAAACTCTAGTCTTACATGCCCTGAATGGGCTGCACAGCTTGGAGTCTTTCCTTCAAAACTGTCCCTCCAAATGCAAACTGCACTTCCATAATATTTGAACTTAAGGTGCTGCCAAATCAGAAGACTGTTTTTGTTTAGGTTGATTTTTGATGATGAAGGCCTTGGAAGAGAGCACAGTGCTCTGTTCGCAGATCACAGTGCAGTTCAAATTCTTCAAACCCACCAACCCTACCCCCCCTCCTTTTTGTTTTAATGGCTTCCTTTGCATTCGTGATTTGCCCAAGCCTTTTTATGCTTGCAGAGAAGTGTTGCAAAAACACACGTTCATGAATATTCCCTTTAATCCAGAAGTCTGTGAAATTCTCCGCCGAGGAATTTGACCAGTTCACCTAAAAACTGAAACGATTTAATAGTGTTACATTCAGGGTAATTTTTCACAGCTTATCAGGCATTTTGCACGGCACTGAAACAACTTAGATTAATGACATGTGATTACTTGCGACACATTTACATTCGTAATCTTAAGTGTGTGGAAAAGTAATTTCATTCTGTGCCAACCCTAGAGCTTTGTATTTGCAGAAGCGATTCTTTAAGGAGAAAGAAACGATTTAATTATGTGTGAAAGAAGGAATAAAGCAATCTGTATTTCTATGGAACAAAATGTTGAGCAAGAAATAATAATTTAAACCTTAAAATAAAAAATATATTTTAAGATCAAGAGCGGCAGATAGTTCTAAAGACAAAATGCATTATATATTTGATCCTGCAGCTTCTATATTTAAAGGTTTTTATATGACAGTTTCAAATGCATGACATGCATATGTGAAATATGAATGCAACATGTTTCAAAAATAAAGTTTAAATACCTCGCCTAATGTTTTATGCATTGCATAACAAAAATGTCTTAATATGAATCCAGATTTAAGAAACTACTTGGAATTTATGTCAAAAAAGGCCTCATGTAATATTTACGCTCACACATCGAAATAAAATCAAGATTCTAAAAATATTTTTCAAAACTCCATAATGGTTTTTAACTTGGAACTTTTACATTTTAATTGTTTTGATCTGCTCATAAAAGAAAATATGCCTTTCAGGGGAATTATTGATATAGATTTGTAGTTTGTCAATAATAAAACATTATCACTGCTTTTTAAATGTAAACATGTTAAAAATACTTATACATTTCCCACGCTGTTTCAAGTTAAAAGCAGTGTAGCACCCGTTTCTCATGTAGGGCATATTTGGAGCATTCCAGCATGTATATTTAGCCTGTCAACACAGCAGAGTAATTTTTTTCTGGAGGAAAGGCGCTCCAGCCTCAGGTGTGGCTTGGATGGATGCTCACCAGTAGCTGTCTTCTTGCCCCACGTCGATGAACTCGTCTGTGTCCGAGTCTGGCGAGCTGTAGTCATGAGGTCTCTTCATTTTTCTTTAGCCTGTCAGTCCTTCCTTGGACAGATGATGATGACGGATGGATTGCTGGATTGATGGATCGGATGTTGACCACTGTCTCTCTCTCTCAGCAGAGGTAATGGGACTCTGATAATGATTTTTTTTTCCTCTCTTGCACTGTCACTTCTGAAAGCTTGGTTTTTCCTTCGTTATATCTTGTCACTTGTGTTTTCTTCTTCTGTCCTCGCGTCGTCTGTTTTTTGTTTCTTGTGTCGTGGCTTCTTCATGTGCCCCCGGAGCTCTACTTCCTGAGCAACCCCCAAGGGCCCATGACAAGTAAGAATACTCATAAGCTGCTGTAGCCTTTTTACACAATCAGTGGCATCCAATCGTAGTCTATTCCTCTCTTATGTCTCTCTTGGCTCGCTCTCTCTGTCACAGCCACCCAATGACAAAGTAGGACTTTGGCAGTTTGGGGCAGGGTTGCCAGCCTCGGCGCCCCCGCCTCCTCTCCTCAGGCCCTCCTCCCTCCCTTTAATCTATCCTTCTCTGGCCTGTCACCCTGCTTCCCGTCTTCCCATCCTCCCATCTTTTCACCTCCCTACTCAGTCACCCTCAGTCAATTAGGCTCCAATCTTCCTATTTTGTTTCCTCACTTTTGTCCTTCTACATAGCTTCTAATTATGCTGCTTTGTCTGACAACGGTAGCAGCACCAAAGAGGAGAGTGAAAAAAAAAAAGGTGGGAATTAAGGAAGCATAGAAATCATCTACCAACTTAAAAAAGGTCAAGCATAACCTGAATTAAAGTAGAGATATCATTTAAAAGTTATTAGAGGGGAAAATAGTTGATTTTTTTCAGTTTTCAAGCAGTTTTTTCTCAATGTTGGGATTTTTCCTTCAGAACATGCAACTTTGCATCAAGATTTGCATGCATTCAACTGAGATCCTGCACACTTTTTTTCTGTTTGAGTCAGCTCTGAGTGCATGCCAGTGTTTGCAGACATGAGGGGGAATGGCAAAGGGGTCAAGAGAGGAATCAGCCGAATGAGTGTCCGAACATCTGTGCTCTTCATCGTACAAGATAGCGCTCTTTATGCTCTCACAATCATGCTTGCACATCGATACACACACACACGGCTCCTCGCAGCACTCGGTGCTGGGTTCCGCTGCCACCGTGGGAAGATCGCTGGTGCTGATTGCCATGGAAACACAAGGCCCAGGCGCCGGTTGTTAGGAGCGATGCCTGACTGACCCAGCACTGTGTGCATATGTGTGTGTGCAAGACGGAGAGAGGCCAAGTGGCATGCCCCCTTTAACACAATGCCCAGCTGAGTGTGGCTCTTCCTGCCTAGCAGACTGGAAGGGTGGGTTAGTTTAAACATACTACAATGCAGAAGTGCAAAATCTTTGTTGGGACTTTTTGAGCAAGTAAATTGTGTTGTTGTGCCTCAATATATGCCTATAAGGTCTATAGGTTTTATCCTTTGTACAGCGCATCCGGGGTAAAGAAATGTCCAAAAACTTTTTGAACACAGGACACATCTTTGCTACATTTCTTTACCTTTATTTAAAATCCTGTGTGCAATTAGTGTGAAAGGTGAACAAACTCTTGACAGTTTCAAATGCGTTTTACATTTTAAAGCAAGCATTCAGAACGGTTGTTTTTTTGTTTTTTTTCTCAAACAAATGCCAAATGCTCTGAATTAACTTATGCATTTACACTATATTGTTATATTAAAAAAAAAAAAAAAGCTTTGTTTGCATTTGGGTTAATTATTATTTATCAAATACAATTTTTTTCTTTTAAATGTTCTGTATTGGTCCACTTCTTTGCTTGTCTTCATTTTATTATTGTAAAATTTTTAAAAAACTTCATGCATTTTTGCATCATATGTATTCTGACCAGTTGTGCCTCATTGAGGTCACCAGAAAAAACTGTGCTTGAGAGCTTTTGTAATTGGGAAGCAGACTTACTCTTTTTATTGATAATTGTTGACCAATAAAATGAGGATACAAACAAAAAGACAGATCATGCTATGTTGTTTTATAACTAATATAGAAAGTGAGGCATTAGTAGGCATTTCTTGACCTGAATTTGACTTTTGTCTTCCTTAAATTGCATTTTTTCCTGTCCGTCCCATTTTGAAAATGGGCTAAGTTTTTTGCAAATTTTATACTTCTAAAGTGTAAAGCAATAATTATGAACAAAAACTACGGACGATTTAATAACTTGAATGTTAAAATTCCTCCTGTTAGACTTATTTTGTTTGCATTTAGAGTCGTAGAGCTTATTTTGTAAAAGAGTTTGAAATGCAACAAATTCTTTGTTCTGGAATCTTTAATGTTTTAGCATTAGCTGCTGGATAATTCTTTAATATCTGTTGTCTTTAAATTTATATTTGTTTCAATATTATTGCTTTTTTGTTTTTTTTCAAATATTTTTGCACATTTTTCTATTTATTTCTAAATTTTTTTCATCTTCTTAAAAGCCGCTGAACTTCTGTCCTCCCTGCCAGCTTTATTGCATGTCTAAGGCAATTAAACCGAATACAAACAGGATCATTAGCGTGTGTTTTTGATATCCAAGTGTGAGTCATCAACATGGCCATGACCTGAGGGTGGTTTAAAGTGGGGGGGGGGGACTTGCAGTGTGCTGTAGTGTGGTGAAGTGTGAGTGAGGAAAGAGAGAAATCCTTTCTTCCTCTCCCGTTCTCCCCATCCTTTCGTTACCAATCATTGCTTGATTCAGATCTGGAACTCATTTCAGCTTCAGAAATCTGGAAAAAAAAAAAAAAACAACAAAAAAAAAGAAACAGAAAGGCTGAAAGAAGAGATGCCTATGAAGTCAGGCCTTCAAGTCTTTGTTGTTATATTTATCACCCACCCTCCCATCTCTCCCCTTAGACAGATTAACTTTCTTCTTTGCATCACCAGTGAATGAAATCACTCTGGTTTCCTTTGCTGCATGTCTTCTCGACTTCTCTGCGATGAAGAAAGTTGCAGGAAAAAAAGAAAACATGCAAGTGATGGAAAGTAATTAAGAAGATGAATGAATAAATAAAGAAATTGATTAATTGTTCCGTGGTGAGGGCAGGGGGTGCAAAATGGAAAGCTGATGGTGACCAGCATAAAAGGGACAGAGACGCGAGGGGAGCTGGCAGGGAACGGCTGGATGGAATTCTGGAAGATTTCTGGGGATATTGGTCAGCCACTTCAAGATGTCCCCCTCCCATCCCACCAAACCACAACAAGGCAAAGGCCCTTATTGGAATTAACAAGCTCATACTTTTACAATTTGCGCACACACGCACAGCACCAGTACATACGTGTGAAAGTTCAGTGACACAGACACAAACACTCACACACACAAGTTTGAGAGCTTCATATAAGCACATGCGCTGGTCCGTCACGCAAATGTGGACAGTTCTTTGCCACAATTTATAAGCCCCAAACACTCGGCTGCAATTATTGTTTCTGATGCATGACTGCTGCTATTGTTTTAAAGTCCATGAGATGGAACTGCTTCAGCATGATCCGTGTTTCTCGCTTCCTCTGCATGCAAGTCCAACTGAATAACTGATGTTTTTATATAAGTACAAACACACACATAGAAGAATGATAGAAGGATTGAAAGTTAAGAGAGAATGAGGATCATTATTTTTTTTTTGCAACATTAATTTCAAGGGGTTTGTTCTTTTTTTGCTTAGAACACATTTTTTTCTTTGCATTTTTTTAAATATCAATTTCTGTGGTAAATGCATTCCTTTCTTTTCTGCAAAAATCACTGAGGCTATAGAGATTTTTTCATCTTTCCCTCTTTTTCTTTCACACGCTACATGAATTTCTATCATGATGCAGCATATCAACAATAAAAATACTTATGGAAAATACAATAAAATCCTACTTTAATTAAGAAGAAAAAAATTTATTATAACAGCTTTATGAAATTCTACTCACAAAGTGCCTTTCATGACATTCTGATGTCTCAGAAAAACACCAGATATATTATTTTTGATCCATTGAAACACTGCTATCTTATTTCATTTTCTAAATTTCCATTAGACAATCAAAATGGTATTAGTCCAGAAGTATCAACAAAAGACATTAAAGAGCCTTCATTGTAAATGTTTGTGTACCATCTGCAAGCCCTGTCTAGACCGCAAATGTAGTCGCCAGCATGGTGCCATGCTGGATGTGAGCGCGGCTGCTATGTACCATCGAAGTTAGTGGATTCCCTATTAGTTTGAGGCCATTGTAATAATGAGACATATGCTGGCTGCTAAGTCAGTGATCAACATTAGATTGGCATGGGAACTGGCACTGGTGCAGCTTGGCACTCTTCAGGCTGGACCAACGAGAGAATGATGTCCTCCGTCGACACATAATCTATCTATGGCGCGAAGCGTCTGGCCATCTTTTTAAACACTAACCTCGATATACGAGGCACTTCTTGTGAATTCCCAGTTGCCTTTAGTGGGATATACTGTGATTTGGAGCATCTTATTGAGCAGATATGAGGCGTGTATAAACTATTAGAGAGTATCTTGTTCTGGGCAATCAGAGCATGGTGGCTGGCTGCTGCAGGCTGAGGTGTTAGGAGGGCAGAACCCCAGGGTCAAACTGTCTCTTAAAGAGGATACCTATAGCGAGAACAGAGAGTGAGAATGAGTTGTCCCTCTTTACACACCCATCCCAGCAACCCCCCCGATGTAACGATAAATAAAGAGGCTAAAAGCCGAGGAGAAGAAGCAGAAAGGGGCTTTTGTGGCTTCCGAGTGGGGTCCCTTTCATGACAGTTCCCACAGCACTGGGCCTGCAATGACATTCACAATGTTTCACACACGCTTGATGGGCCCTGTGACTGCGGTGACTTTCGCTGGTGCTGGGCCCCAGACGGGACGGCGAGGGCCCCCGAGAGCCACAGGCAGCCATTGTGTTGTCGCCGCGGAAACCAGCCTCTTTATGTCAGACATGTTTTTCTGTTTGTTTTCTTTTTTATGTCTTTAATGTGGCCAAAGAAGGGGGGAGGTGATGTTTCCCCAATCACCCCTTCACTCCAGCACCCATCTTCCCTCTCTTCCTAACTATCCATCCAGATTTGCTCCCCCCCCCCAAAACAATCTTTCCCCTGGAGATCGTCATTTGTAAGAAGCTTTGCTTGGACAGCCCATGTCTTTGTCGTGGTGTTGCTGCCTCCCTCTCGCTCAGCTCCTTTTTATCTGTACTTCATGAGGTTTTGGCACAGCCCAGCACTTTTTCTTTCTGTTCTGCAAAAAACTATGTACACAACTCCAAAACAACTTAACTTCGCTCTAAAAGAACTCTGCCTTTCCCACAGCAAGTCAATAATCTTCATAAGATTAAACAAACTAACCAGAAAAAAAAACATCAAAGGGAATAAAAAAAAGAGGAAGGGGTTTCGGGGTGGGTGGGTTAAATAAAAATGTAAAAGAAAAAAAAATCTGGTTAT